TCCTTTGCAACCGGACAGGAGCCATATACCACCTAGTGAGCAACTTGTATCCCAATTCCTGCATCCTATTGGAGGCCGAGGATTTATGTGAGAAGAAAAGGATATGACCAATTTGATTTTAAATTGGTGTTTGGTGAAGATCTCTCTCCCACGCTTGCAGATAAGAGGGTGGGGAAAGGTTGTTTACTTCAAAGAGGATGGAATGTGCAGAGAGTGTATGTCGTTGAGGGGAGGATTGAGCTGCATTTTCTCAAATTGCGTGAGTTGTCAAAACAAAAGTTGATTGCCAAATGAGGAACAAAGGTAGTGCGACAGTTGTATAAGTCTCCAAGTGTCGAGAGTGGTGGCGAACTTAGTCTGGAAAGCCATCAAAGACATAAACGTCCCAGCATCAATTAAATTACAGGCTCCTGATTTAATCAGGTTGAGGAAGGAGGCATCAGTATATTCAGTTTCTAATCCTGGGGTGCCTAATGTTGAAAAAGAACATTGAGAAAGCTGGGAAGGTACAGCGGTACCTTGCATTATGTATCTTTTATAGTTACCCTACACGTGGGTCCCAAAAAAAGATGGTCTCTTACATCCTGAGGAAGCTGGACAAAAAAATCCAAGGGGGAGCCATAACTTCTTGTTCTAAGGATATCTAATGTTAATGGGGGCCACAGGCTGCACCATTCCAGAAGACACACCAGATGTGAGGCTTCATAGTATCTAAGCGGGTTGAGAAAACCTATTCCTCCATCAGATTTGGAGAGACTTAAACCTGGGCGCTTAATTGGCACCCTTTTTCCAGCCCGAAGGAAGTGAAGGAAAGTAAAATTAAAATCTTTCAGGACGTGTGGGGGTAATGTGATTGGCAAAGTTTGAAACAGATAAATTAAGCTTGGAAACATTTTATTTTCAGCACACTGCTATGACCAAACCAAATAAAGGTTCCCTCATTTTACAAGATCTCTTTTGATAGTCCACAAAAGAAGTTTAAAATTGAGAGAGAAAAGCTGGGTGAGGTCAGTTGAAATGTTGGTACCCAGATAACAAATGTGGCAGTATGACCATCTGAAAATTTGCCCCAAATGGTGAACTAGGTGGAGTCAAGCTTTAAAGATTGAGGATAGCCTGCAGCTCCTTTAGGGTCCCTAATGCTGGCCATACATTATGGGGTCTATTCACGAAGCTGCCGAAGCATCTGGCTGTAGCTTCGGCCGATCCTTCAGCCCCAGGACCCCGTCAGTTCTGTAGAACCGAAGGGGTGCTGTACGGGCTATTCACAATAGCCCGTACAGCTGCCGATCATGGCCGAGCGGCTCAGTCGAGCCGAACGCATATGCATCGGCTCGGCTGAGCCGTGCTGAAAGCCGAAGCTGGCCGAGCGGCCGGCCGACAGCCTGCTTCTGACAGCTGGGCGGGCGATCTTACGGCTGGCTCCGGCCACTTTCAGAGAGATCAGCGTCCCTGGTTACCTGCTAACCAGGGACACTAATCTCCAAACAGCTAACTCTCCCTGGCGCCCCAGGAGCCTCCCGCTCCCGGCCACCAAGGAGAGAAGCAATTGTAGGCCCTTTCGAAAACGTTGCTCTTGTTGGCATCCCCCGCAATACAACCTGCCCTGGCTGTGATACTTGTGTGTCACGCTTTAGTTGACTGGACTAGGGCTTTGAGGAAGGATCTGGGTCCCATTCAGTATGTTCCCTTACTGACTGAGTGTTTAGAGCTCATGTTGGCAGCCTTAAACTGCTGTGTGGACGGATTGCAACAGTTTCCTATCTAATTTCCCTTATGAGTCTCCTCTCAGTGAACATGATAAAGACTCTGTGCTAAAAGCTAGGACTTAGACTGGAAAGGCTTCTCCCTCCTCTGAGGTCAAGAAGAATTCCTCTTGTTATTCCCAGGCCTCTACCTACAAAGCCAAGCCCAATCCTAAGCCTGGTCCCCAGTCCACCCACAAACTTTGGACTTCCAAGTCCCCCAAGCCCTCAGATAAATCTTCCTCAGCCCCCTTACTTTCAAATACAAGGAATGCCTGCTAGCCTTTTGTTGACATTTGGACAGTCAGCATTCCTGATAAAATTCTGCTCTCATCCCAGTGAGAACTGTAGCCCATAAAACACATAGGGATACATTTTGAGTGCAGGAGCGTACGGATCAGGTCAGCACACAAAACGGACGTCGTGTGAACAAGCATTAAGGCTCTAATTATTTTTTAGGCCCAGAAATTCTGAATTGACTCACCAGGTCTGTCATAAGCTCCCTCCAGCAAGGAGACTTTCTGGCCTCTGCAAACATGAAGGATGCATACCTGCATGCCCCCTTTCTCCAACACATCAGCAACCCATTTGCTTTGTAGTGGGTCCTCAGCATTTCCATTTTGTGGACAAGTGATTTCCACAATGCTTAAGGCTAGGAAGTCTTACAGTGCACATGGAAGGCATACGGTACTTCACTTGGTGCAAAGCAAGAGATTTTCACTCCAGGAAAAGTGTGACAAATCCTGGCTTTTTTGCAAATAGACCTGGCTCAACATTTGTCCTTAAGTACTATCAAGGATCAGATTTTGGTACTTACAATCTTGTTCCAGAAACCACCAGCCTCCAATTCTGTAATTAAGATCTTTGTGCAGGGTGTTTCCCATGTGGCTTCACCAGTTAAAAAAATGCACATTAAACCAGAATGCACGGCCAGTGCAATTGTGTGGTACAGTGCGTTAATCAGGAACCAGAATGTGACGTCACTCCGGTCCAGGCATCTTTACAGGACACGTGAGGAGCTGTAAGCAATGCACATATGGATGGAGCTCCCTCGCAGCCATAGCCCCATCCTATCCCACCTTAAGCTTACACTCGGCGCTGGGCAGCATATTTTGAATGGCTGCTTGGCGCAAGAACTGACCATGCTGCACTAGAGGGAGGCTGAGGAGCATCTCACCAAGAAAAGTGTAGAAAGACTTTTTGTTATACCTGATGGCCCCCATAAAGGAGCTTCTCATTCTACCATCGCTTAGTGATTCAGAAAGACCATCCAGTAGGCTTATGGTTTCAATTATCTTTTCTGCTATGGCACACTCTACTAGATCTGTGACTGCTTCTTGGGCTTTTCGAAATCAAGTAACTTTACCAAATATCCAAGTCTGCCACTTGGTCTGTTCACACGTTCTCCAAATTTTACTAGGTGGTATTTTGTTTTTAGGGATTCAGCCCCAAAAGTCAATTTGTTTCGGGATTTGGATTCGGACGAAATCTGAATTTTCGTTAGCAGTAGTATTTACAAACAAATTTTCGCTGCAGCAAAGTGACAGACAACGGGAAAAAAAATTACATTTTCTTTTTAGGCTGTAGAAGAAAAAAAAACGTGTGAGGTTCCCCCCAAAAGTCATACCAGACTCTTTAGGTCCAGTAGGAGTGTTAGGGGGACTCCCAATGTAAAAAAAAAAAAAGGCATGAGGTTGCCCCAGAAGTCATACCAGACCCTTTAGGTCTGGTAGGAATTTTAAGGGGGACGCCAACGTCAAAAAAAAACATGAGGTCCCTCTAAAATACCAAACCAGACCCTTAATTTGAGCACTGACCTTACGACGGGGCAGGAAAGGTAGGGGTTGCACTCGCTGCGCAATACCAGGCCACATGCCCTCAATTTTCGGGGGATGCCCGGGAAAGAAACTTGTCTCCATGCTGATGAGCACAAGGGCCTCTTTCCACAACCCTTGCCTGGTGGTTGTGGGGGTCTGTGGGTAGGGGGGCTTATTTGCATCTGTGTGCCCTCTCTCATAAAGGGGGCACCCAGATGCCCCCTCTTGTGAATAAGGGGTAGTTATGTGTTTAGAGGAAGCACTGGGATCTTGAGGAATACTAAATTAAGTTTTACTTGCTTATAAGAACATTACATCAAAATGCAGCATTATACCGCATACAAAGAGAACTTCTTGTGTATATTATAGATAAGCATGAACACACACAGAAAATGCGCGTTACTGTGTTTTTACACATGTTTTGTGTGGGTTTGCTCATTAACATCAATGAGCTACAATCCGCTCACAAAAACACGTGATTGGATTCTTGCGCAGAAAATGCACAAAAACGCCGTCGCCTAGGTGTGAACCCAGCCTAAGACTAAGTCCAGTGTCTTCAATTAGGCACATTAATAGTTCCTGCATCCTGCTGCTTATCATGGTTAGGGGAGCCAGGCTGGGAGACACACTGGTCAATACATACCAGCGGAAAAGCAAAACTTTGGGTCCAGTGTTTGTCCAAGAGCTTCTTTAACATTGTAGGAACAAAAGGAGACAACCCATATGAAGATCCGATGAGATCAAACCAGCTAAGAAAAAAGACTTCTCCTTAAACTCTGTGGTGATGCACATCTTGTTCCGATTTGGGGAGGTGCCTATTTCAGGTGCTGTCCTGGAAGACGATTTCGGAAGGATTCGGAAGGATAAACTCAATTTCATATTATAAAATACTGTAGGCAGCCTTTACTTTTACTGAAAACAATAAAAGAAGAATGCAGATCACACTTGGTTTTATATAGTAGAATGCAAAGCAAGTCATTACTTTAATATATAATGATATGTACAGATGGGTATTAAATCAGGGCACTTGGCACATGCTTCTCTGCATTCATGTACTGTATCTTAATTAGGAGCGCTTTTAAATCACTGTAAACTTTAAATACCAAGTTAGTGCCTCAGTAGGGGTATCACAACGCTCTATATACATTTACTTCCAAGATTCTAGATCTTAATATTAAATGGGGGGAAAAAAAAAAAAAAAGTACATAATGTACTGACTTTCATATATACACTGCAACATAGGCAGATGCAAAATGTGTATTCTGTCCATTACATTTAGTCCAGTCTTCTAGAATTTTCTTTGTTCATTATTCATGTTTACTCCATCACTGTGGCACTATTGCCTTTTTGGTTAAACATATAAACCCATACAAAAGGCTGTAGGAAAACAATAAATTAAGCCTATATAACAACACAGTCAATCTGGTCTATTCTAAGTGGCCACAATCTATCTTCTTCCAAAGTATTCCTTTTCAAAACGCTCAAAGTCTGAATCTGAGAACACAGATTTCTGTTGCATTCTCTTTTTCTTCGTTGCCTGCTGGTCTTTCGCTTTGCGTCCACAGTTCTGATCCAATATCTGTAAAAATAAAAGAAGACATGCTTAGCATCAACGGAAACAGATGTGCTGGCGTGGTCAGCTTGCGTTCCTGAGATTTCTGCTCGGAGGTACAGGATGCTGTGTCAATGCACAGCAAGCCTGTACTCCCGTAGTCAGCTGTCAGACCTCCCCCTGCCCAGCCCTGCTGATTGACAATAGTGGCAGTAGCCAATTGTGGTCTATGCTTTGCACCTGCAGCCTGGAATGATGTCCACACGCTGAGAATTAAGACATACAATGGGGAACAATAAGGGAAGGGAATCTGTGGTGTAATTATATATATATATATTTTTTATTTTACTCTGCAAAAGTTTAAGGCAGGTGTGAAAAAAATGCTGCAAAGTAACAAAACAAACTGCCTCCTGCCACAGCAAAATATTTCACATTTTGATTTATGAGTCCAGAGCTCCTGCTGCCATTTTTCTGTGGCCTTGCGGCCAAAAAGCCATACCTCTGGCATGGAAACAAGGCTAAGTGACTCAACTAGCATGAAAACATAGGAACTGGAGTGCGAAAAATTGCAGCATGTGCTCTGGACTGAGAAGTCAAAATGTGAAATATTAGGCTGTAGCAGGAAGCAGTTTTTTCGCCGGAGGGCTGGAGAGCAGTACAATAATGAGTGTCTGCAGGCAACAGTGAAGCATGGTGGAGGTTCCTTGGGGCTGCATTTCTGCCAGTGGAGTTGGAGACTTGGTCAGGATCAATGGTGTCCTCAATGCTGAGAAATACAAGCAGATACTTATCCATCATGCCATACCATCAGGGAGGTGTGTGATTGGCCCCAAATTTTCCTGCAGCATGACAATGACCCCAAACATACAGCCAATGTCATTAAGAACTATTGACAGCGTAAAATACAACAAGGAGTCCTGGAAGTGATGGTTTGGCCCCCACAGAGCCCTGATCTCAACATTGAGTCTATCTGGGATTACATGCAGAGATAGAAGGATATGAGGCAGCTTACATCTGTGTACAGAAGGTCTGTGGTTAGTTCTCCGAGGTGTTTGGAACAACCTGCCTAAAACTTTTGCACAGTAGTGTGTGTGTATATGTATTTTTTTTTCTTTCATGTAAGTTTTTTACAGTATTATAGTAGTGTACAATCATTGGAGTTTTTACAAAGACTTTAAATTCCATGGTTGCTTCCAATGTTAAGGGAGTGCATATTTACTTTTAGCAGCCAATCACCTACAAGAATGCATTGAAAAAAACCCCCAAAGTATAAAAGTTACAACTTAAAGGAGAACTATGAGGTGAGTGAAAATCACTCAGCCTCATAGTTCGAGCCGACATGTGACAATGAAACTGTTACACTTTGGCTCAATAGATCGGGAAATGAGCGAACGCATACCGTCGCTCGCTCACGTCTTGATCATCTACCTGCAGAAAGCCGTGACTGTCAGTCACAGCTCCCTGCAGGGATTCCACCCCTCCCCGATCCACCAGCGCTGACTGGAGGAGGGGGCGGGTACAGCAGGCTCTGCCTCAAGATAGGCAGAGCCTGCTGTCACTCACGCTTCTGGGTGGATCTCGACAGTAATGTCGGGATCCGTCCCGGCTGCGGCGGTCTCAGTATACCGCGAGCTGTAGCTCCCGGTATATTGAGCTTAGGGTCACAGGAGGCTAGTTTATGTCCTCCTGTGACCATTAAGAGAACTATGGGGAAAAACACTTACACCATAGTTCTCTTTTAAATGTCTCACGCTAAACCTGTTTTATAGCAATGCAATACCAATGTAAAGATTGCAAGTGATGTCATGGGCAAGCATAGATATTATATTTAGTGGCCAGGCAAGTACAAACGTTTAGTGGTGTATAAAAACAGTAGACTTAAAGTGACACTAAACTCAGGAGTTAAATCTTAAAAATAAATTCAAGTACCTTAACTATTAACAAAAATGTAGCTTATTTGTGTATCACTCAGCTGTAGATCCTCAAATCATCTCTGAATTGGTGCTGACACTTCCTTCCTTCTGGAGGGGGGCTACTTTTTTTCCCTATGGTCCCTGTGTGTGTGTTGTAAAGTACATTTTTAAGATTTAACTCCTGAATTTAGTATGACTTTAAGAGGTCTCCTTGACAACATCAAAAGTTGTGTGCAAAAAAAATGTCTTTCCTGCTTTGGTGTGCACTACTTGTAGTACTAAAAAGCCACCTCATGTGAAATTCCATTATTACAATTGAGGACAATTTCTTGCTTACGCAATACACATCACATTCCTAGGCCTCAGTAAAAATACACATAGATGTTTGGTCAAGTCAGCTTGTTGTATTCTATAGCAAATCATTTGCTACAAAATTAGGATTACACTTTGATATGAACTTACAAGAGGACTTACCTTTTTGACAACATTTTTGTTTGTAACAGAGCAGGATCCAAGCATGTATTTGAGGTTTTGTGCAAGGTAATCTTGTGATTCAAGTTTTTTACGCTCCTCTGAGAAATAAAAAAAATAAAAAAAAATGTTCACATAGGCTTAGGTGTGCGTTATTTATTAGAAGCCCATTTATAAAGTAGCAGTATGGCCTTAACACAGTTAAAAACTCATGTGAATTACCTCTCCTCCTATCATGCTTTTCATGGAGTAAGATCATCTAGAAGGGACAGAAAAAACTTGACAACAGAGGTTCTTATACAGCGGTCTCAAACTCAATTTCCTCGGGGGCCACTCGAGAAATTTTTTTTCTCCCATGGGGGCCGCTTGCCAATTTCATACTTTGAAATAAAATTTAACTATATCCGGTTTGTTACTACGGACACCAATACACACACAATAAGGCCTCATTCATATCTGAAGGTTTAGGTGCGATTAGGGATTCCTGCGTCAGAAACTTGCGTTTTCCAGCAGCAGGAATCACTAATCTGATGTTTACCCATTCAAGTTAATGATCAGATGACAGCAGCTGAATATAAACACCTGCACACCACATGTGATACGGTTACATGCGGTTAGAAAACACTCTCCCTGGATGCACAATCATTGCGTCCAGGAAGATTGAGTGATTCCTAACCGAATGTAATCATATCACATATCATTTCATGCGGCAGGCAGGCGTTTACATGCAACTGCGGTCACCTGATCATTAACTTGAATAGGTTCCACACACATAAAATAGTATCATTCCCAGTGTGTGTCCATGTAAAAATATATGTGGTACTGATTGGTAAGGTCTGCTGCAGACTTCATTAATCAGTCCTTTTGGCCATTGTTCAGTGAAGACGCCAGCCGAAAGGATCCTAGTGCTGCCACAGAAGCAGCTGTGCGGTCTGCATCCGACAGAGATGCAGACCATGTAGCTGCTTCCGCATGTCTGGTACGCGGTCCGTGACCATGTACCAGACTTGTGAGCTGGCTGCAGGCCACATTGTACCGGCCCGCAGCCACTGCTCTAATACTTCCCCATTATAAAAGAAATAAAGTTGTGGCTGAAGGCTCATTTTAATGTGTACAGTACTTCCAGCCAGAACTTTTTGTTTGTTTTGAATAGACAAACAGAAAATGAGGACAGTATGTCTCCAGCAGCAACAAATAAAAATGTAGCTTCTACAGGCAGCCACATATTAGCAATGGTTACATTCATTTGCTAAATCCCTCCTCTAAAATATACACATTGCATCTCCTGTTACTAAGCTGTATTTATTTCCTATGATCCTCAGCTCCATCTAGTGGCCATTATGCAGTTTTTTCATAATTCACTCTGTTCTGAATGAACAAACTTATTTTTGTTACTGCCCACAATATTTGAAGCACATTCGACCAGAACAGACTTTAGCCTAAGAACATTTGGTTTTTCCCATCCATCCTCACAACTTGTAATTCACACAGATTGAATGTACATGTAGTTTCGTTGGATGACTTGCTATGTAAATTGTTTTATAAATAGATCCCAAGTGGTTTTTTTTGTAAGCAAAAATTAAGGAACATGTCTGTTTAAAATGTTTTGAACCGCCATGAGCAAATGAATCCAAAAGACGGTGGGTTTTCACAGTCCTAGATGGGGCACAGTTATTTGATAACCAACTGTTTGTTGTCTTCATGGCACATTACACTTTGAAAACGGTCATATACAGCCAGTATTAAAGTTATCTGCTGTCCAAAACTATTTCAATACTGGCATGATGTGATTGCTCTCATTAAAAGGTACCCATACACCTTACAATTATCTGCAGATTTTCTGTGGTCAGATGGAAAAATAGGATTTTTGTACTCACGTAAAATCCTTTTCTCTCCGTTCATTGAAGGACACAGGCAACAGATCGTAGATCCTGAATGGTAGGGTAATATCGCCACCTGCAGGAGAAGGACGCTAGGCACAAAACTAAAGACCAATTACAGCCTAGGGGCGGCCCCTGCCGGTGGCCAAACCCCCCACCTGCTGACAAGTCTCCAGTTTAGTAACAAGCAGTTAGGAGTGTACACCCCATAAAGAGGGCGGGGCCTGTGTCCTTCAATGAACGGGGAGAAAAGGATTTAACGGTGAGTACAAAAATCCTATTTTCTCTCCCGGACACAGGCATTGGAATGCAGACACAACCTTCGGCAGGAACGCCGGCCGAGGACGGAGATCCGCCTTGTCCCGATGCAAAACCAAAACTGATCTACGATCTGTTGCCTGTGTCCTTCAATGAACGGGAGAGAAAAGTGCAACAGATTGGAGATGACTCCATCCACACAGTTAAGTGTAGATGGAGGAATCTGTTGCACCTTTTCCATCTGACCACAGAAAAGCTGGAGATAATTGTAAGGTGTATGGCCAGCTTAACAGTGCTTATGCTACAAGTCTAGACAATATACCCTTATCTTGTGTCTTGCATTTTGTTGCATGAACTTGCATTTCAAGTTGAAATCCCATTATTTCTTATAAGGCTGATTAACATCTAGGAGTTGCAGTTCAGTGTGAAAGGGAAACTATATGGGCCCAATTACACTTGTGTTACCATGCGTGCTGCAACACACACAAAACACTGTAAATCCAGTGTTATTTTCCAGTAAAAGTTCAAATCCAGTTGACAAGTCTAAAGCGGCAGAGTCGGCAGTCCGTTTGTTGAGAAACACTGATAAACTTGACAGACTCTTCATGACTACATTAATAATTATGAAATGCTATTCAAACGTAGTGTAGACCTGACACAGAAGTCTTACCTATTGCTGGTTTATTATCCCTGTCTTTGGCCGTTGCTCTCTGATTTTGTGGCCGTCCCTGTTTCAGTTTTCGGAGCTGCTTCTTCATTCCTGTTTTGTTAGTGCTTAAAGCTTCTTTTCGCTTGTGCTTTGCTGGTTGCTTTCCGAAATCTAGATTTACACACATAAATAATTGTATGTTACAAGGTGAACAGGTTGATGGAGACATTTAAACCCTGCTGCACAGCAGCAGCCATGATGGGAGAGGGAGGGGCAGACAATTAGGGCTCTACTACTTTGCAAAATGATGCCAATAGCTTAAACAAGCTTACAGGGAAAAGAACAGAGCAATCTTGTCTGTTGACTGTCCTGTCATGGGGAGGGGAGAAGGTAACCATTGTGTAGCACTGCAAAGCAGGAAGTATGTGAATATGGCTGCCCCCATGCACTTTTAAAAAAACACATGCTTTTTTAATCGAATTATATTACCCAATGATTTTAAAAACCACATTCCATAAATTTTCCAGGACAGCCGATAGATGATGGGTTCCACCTTCAACAGGAAACACAGGTCAAATATAGTTAAAAGCAACCTGATTACCCGTACTCTTTTAGGCTTTAAGACATATATTAGGACCACTAAACAGAACTAGAAGACGACTGGAACATCTAAAGTCTTTTGAAAACTCCAAGAATATCAACGCACGCCTCCTGACATCAAGAGAATTGAATTATTCTTTCTGATTCTTCAGATAAGTACAGAAGGTTGAGAGAATAATTTGAGACTAGGGCTGCAGCTAACGATTATTTTCATAATCGATTAGTTACCCGATGATTTTTTCAACTAATCGATTAGTTGTATAAACAAAATTCTCTCTCTCTACTTCCCCAAGCAACTAATCGATGATGAGAACAGTTGCTAACTATTCCCGTAATCGATTTAGTCGATTAGTTGTTGCAGCTCTATTTGAGACCTATATAAAGTTGAAGATAGTTTAGGAATGAACATTGGGTCTGGCCTTAAAATTACTTGTCTTGCAAGCTAATCAAATAAAGGTCTTTACAGAAAAGAGCTTAAATATTTGACTCTACCCTATTTGACTCTGTTCAACAGCCCCCCTTCCCCCAGAGTCTGCGTTATCTCCCTCAGCACTATCCACATTTGTAGATGCAGAATAGACTGATACTGCTTAGTAGCGTGCCCAATCTTGAGGCAGGTCTCCTCATTGCTCCTGGCCTACAGCAGCAACTTTCCCCCACTTCATTCTTACTGAAGTTAGAGTGTTAAGCAGGAGCAGTCTGCTGATAATGCCAGTGTCTCCAGTGATGTGTTCACCACAAATGACCTTAGAAAGCATAACAGACATGATGAAGCATGTTCCTGGACAGTTCGAAAACACAATGAAACTAAGGATGAAGGGAGTGGGAGGGCTATTATCCATTTTTGGCTGGTGTTTCCTGTTGAAGGCAGAGTCAATCATCTCTTAGGGCCCATTCACATCTGAGTGCAGTATTATTTGTACGATTTTGTGTGATTAAAGCACACTATCCCAAAAAGTTAGTCTCAGATGGATGTAAACAGTGGGATTTGCATACATACCCATACAGTTGTTGGAAGATGGTGTTACAGGCCTTATGTTTAAGGAAGACTGTGCTGATCTAAGACTGGCCATAGACGGCTTGAATTTCAGCCAATTCCTGCTAAACTGACTGAAATTCAAGCTGTGGGTGGCCCTTGAAGAACCACCTGGCTTGACAAAAGTAGATTTAACCACTTGAAGACCAGGGGGGGTTACACCACCTTCCTGTCCAGTCCATTTTTCAGTATTTAGCACTGTAATACTTTCATTGACATTTATTTAGTCATACAGCGCTGTACTGAAATTGTGCCAACCTTGTGAAGACGTACAGGGCACGTTTGACCTCTGTCATTGACAACAAAGGATATATAACAAAGTATTGAGATGACCTTTTGATATTGACCAAATACTTATTTTCCACCATAATTTGCAAATAAATTAGTTCCAAATCAGCCAATGTGATTTGTTTTCTCATTTTGTCTCTCATAGTTGAGGTCTACCTATGATGCCAATTACAGGCCTCTCTCATCTTTTTAAGTGGGAGAACTTGCCCAATTGGTGGCTGACTAAATACTTTTTTGCCCCACTGTATATATGTATATATATAATAAAACTGCTTTACCAATGTTATTTAATATTTTATTACCCAATGTTTTGTGTAAAATATAAAAGACGGGGTCACGTCAGGTAAATAGACACCAGACATGTGAATCCTTAAAATTGCGTGCACCCGCAAAACACTACAATACCCGAAACTGGGCATAGGCGACGCTTTAAAAGCTTTCACTGCCCATCAATTCAGGGTTAATGGTCATTGAAGGCCCTAGAATTATAGCTCACACTCCGACGTTCGCGGTGATATGTAACATGTGCAGCACAATGGGTGCAATCGTCGTTTTTGCACACAGGCCCACCTAACCCATGTTTTCATTTGTAAGTGTATGTACATGGGGACAGGGGACTTTAAGACTTTTTTGCGTTTCTTTTATTTTATTTGTGACTTACATTTTTTGTAAACTTTGATAAAAAAAAGAAAAAACTTGATAGCAAAGGAACAGTGACAGGTTCTCTTTATGGAGACATCAGGTGTCTTCTAGACCCCTAATGTCACCTAGTGACCACCAAAGAATCTGAGGAAGCAGAGATCTGCTTCACCAGGTTCTCTCTGGCTAATACACATCACTTCTGCATTCAGAGATCGGAAGGGAGATCAGCGGGAGAACGCATGCTGAGCTCCCTCCGATCTCAGTACAGAGAGCCTTTGTGCCGGAGCCCGGGATAGGCGGAGGGGGGCACACACTTTCCAATGTACAAGCGTTCGGGCAGCTATAGAGCACGTATGTAAACAACATTTGCCAGCTGTTTAAAATGCGGTCAGATATAGTGGCTGCGGAATACAAAAGACGGCAGTGGAAGTTGCTCCATTCATGCTGATTAGTGTGGATGGGGGAAATTGATTTTCCATTGTATTTGGCTGGCTTTAAGGTGCCCATATACCTTACGATTATCGTCCGATAATCGTATACGATCGCGTTTTCGTCCGATAATCGCATGGTGTATGTGGAGTGTACAACCGCAAATACTGTACAATCGTACGACTTTTGACTTTCAAGCAAGATTGAAAACTTTGGGCGATTGTACGATTATTGCAAGGTTAGTGGCGTTTCAGTACGTCAAAAATCGTATGATCTACACTGCTCATGCGCAAACGAAAATACGTGCGGTTGATTACAGCAATTCATCCAGTCGCTTTTCTTTAATTACGGCTAATTGAACCTTGCGATAATCGGGGCATCATGGGGCCGCCGTACGACAATTGTACGATAGTTCGATCATCGGATGAAAAGTGTTGTCCGATAATCGTAAGTAGTGATGGGCTCGGGTGTGTTCGCAGCTCCACGTGCCGAGCCCGTCAGGAAGCTGACAGCGCCGCATCTCCAATCACAGGTACTGAGAGATTATCCCGGTCCGCAGCTGCAGAGATCGGGATATGTCTCAGTGCCTGTGATTGGCTCTACGGCACAGTCAGCTTCCTGGCGGGCTCAGCACGTGGAGCTGCGAACACGCCCGAGCCCATCACTAATCATAAGGTGTATGGCCACCTTTAGATAGATGGATACATTCACACCCAATTTGAACCATCTGTATATGTTTATCCAAAATCTGAACCTTGTTGCTTGTTCTCAAAAAAGTGACTCGTCTTTTAAATGTAGATAGAGTGCTGAGCCACAAGCAAAGGTGGTCACCCCCCCGCATTTCACTATGTGTAGTTTAGTCTGCTGCACATGTGTGTTTAAATTCAGTTGTAATCAAATGTATTCAACCCCCATTGCAAATCAGGTTTATTGGCAAAATTTACAGACTTTCAGCCGTTTCCAATGAGCAAATCAAACAAAAGCAAATGAAATGGGTCAATACAACGAATGTTTCAAGTGTTCCCCCCAAATTCAACTTTCATTACTTCTGCTTTCTCAAAATTATTTAACCCCCTGTTCACAAACAAGGAATAGGATTAAAAAAAAGACAGCGAAGGCACTGATTGTTCCTAGAGACACCGATGGAAGCATAGTTTTCCAATTCAAAGTTAAAGGAACAGTGGTTACACTACCTGGACGGGGCAGAAAAGGGAAGCTATCGATGGCTGCAACCAGATTTCTGAGAAAAACAGGCACTGAGGTTTCAGTTAGCACAGTAAGGCGTGTAGAAAAGTTGGCTCCAATATGCCCAAAATCATATAAATGATCCATAGATGTTTAGGGATCCTGTCATGTGGAGCAATGAAACAAAACTGGAACTTTTCAGCCCTGTGGATCAGCAGTATGTCCGGAGGAAGAAAAATTAAGCATATGCTAAAAAGAACACTGCTCACAGTTAAAGGAGAACTATGAGGTAAGTGAAAATCACTCATCCTCATAGTTCAAGCCGACGTGTTACAATGAAACTGTCACATGTCGGCTCAATAGATCGGGAAGTGAGCGAACACATACCGTCGCTCGCTCACTTCTCGATCCTGTTCCTGCAGAGAGCCGTGACTGTCACTCAATCAGCCAGCACCGATTGGAGGAACGGACGGGGGAGTGGGCGAGCACAGCTGGCTCTGCCTCTAGATAGGCAGAGCCAGCTGTCATTCACGCAGCTGGGTGGATCTCGACAGCATTGGTGGGATCCGTCCTGGCTGCGGCGGTCTCAGTATACCGCGAGCTGTAGCTCGCAATATACTGATCTTTGGGTCACGGGAGGATGCTAGTATATGTCCTCCTGTGACCCTTAAGAGAACTATGAAGAAAAACACTTACCCCAAGTTCTCTTTTAACCATGGTGGTGGCTTGGTGATGCTCTAGGGCTGTTTTGCATCCTCTGGCACTGGAAACCTGTAGTGTGTGGAGAGCAAGATGGATTCATTGAAGTATCAGGAAATCCTAGGAGAAAACGTCATGCCATCTGTGAGGAAGATGAAGCTTGTGCATCATTAGAACTTCCAACAGCACAATGATCCCAAGCATACCTCAAAATCCACAAAGCAGTCCTGGAGATTCTACAGTAGCCATCACAATCATCTGACTTGAACCCCCATAGAAAATCTCCGGTGGGATTGAAGAAGACGGTTACAGCATGCAAACCCAAGAATATTAGTGAACTGGAGGCCATTACTCATGAGGAATGGGCTGAGATTCCATAGGAACGCTGCCTGAAGCTGGTGTTTGGCTATGGATCTTGTTTACTGCAGGACACAACAAGTCATTAAAAGTTGCATTTTCAGTTGAGTTTGGGGAAACCACTTAAAACATTTGTTGTGTTTATCTATTTCAATTGCATTTGTTTGTGTTGTTCATTGAAAATAGCTGAAGATCTGTACATTTTGCCAATAAAACTGATTTGCAATGAGGGTTGAATAATTGTGATTACAACTGTATATTGGCTGTTCTTCTCTTGCAAGCTGAGCGGCCGAGGTTCGACTCATCTATACCCAACCTGTGCACTCCCTTCTGCATTTGATCGCATATACACACTGCTCTGCATATGAGACATTTTATACTAATACACACCCGGCATTCTGAGAACTGTAATGGTCAGTTTCCTGTACCTCGTGCAGCCATAACCACTGACACAACAAAAGGAAACCGGATAAATGTTTGTGTACAATGTTATTTAAAAGACGCCTCACCCTTGGAGTCAGAGCACACAAGCTCTAGCTCTTTCTTCAGCAATGAAGTAGACATTTCTACCATCCGCCGACTCTCCACAAATCCTTCGCGTGCAGTGTGGACGGAAGTGACGTCAGAGAGATGCGCCGGCCGGAAGCGGGCGGAAATCGGACTGTGCTCTGTATGGGGAATGCACAAGGAGCGAAGAGGCGGGAGGGCTGTACAGGTAAGTCATGGATCGACTGTCGTACTCAGGATTCTCTTTGTTAGTTTGTTTACATTGTTTCGCATATCGGTTATGAAGGCTAAATACATGCTGGAAATAGATTATCTGTAATGGCGTTATATGAGCTTACAGTGTAACTAGCAACATCTTCACAACACTGGAGCTGTACTGTGACCTCAGCTGTATAGTGTGCGATGCTATCATTGAGAACCTGTTACATGTTTCAATACGAAACTGTACATATTACAACCATGATGGATACACATCACAATGTATGTAATAATGCAGTTCTGCCTGATCCATGTTACAGTGTATGTAGTCCCTGACTGATCAATAATACAACGTACGTAATAATGTGGCCCCTGACTGATCTGTAGTACAGTGTATGTAATAGTGTGGCCCCTGACTGATCCATATAACAGTGTATTTTGTAATGTGGCCTCTGACAGATCTATATTACAGTGTATGTAGTAATTTGGCTACATATAACAGTGTATGTAGTAATGTGGCCCCTGACGGATCCACATAACAGTGTATGTAGTAATGTGGCCCCTGACGGATCCACATAACAGTGTATGTAGTAATGTGGCCCCTGACGGATCCATATAACAGTGCATGTAGTAATGTGGTCCCTGACTGATCTTTTTTATAATGCATGAGGAAATGCGAGCCCCTGACTGATCCCTATTGCAGTACATGTAGTGCTGACAGATCCACATCACAATGCATTTTGTAGTACATCCTTGACGGACACTTATCAGAGTGTATGTAGTATCTGTCAGGGCTGTATTACTTCATGCATTGTGACATGAATCTGTAGAGAGCTGCTCTCCTGCGTTGCATTGTGATGTTATATAACACTCCCACAGGGGCTGTAAGTCTAAGGTGCTTGTATTGATGGCATTGGTTTGATATCAGTTTGAGATGCTTCTGAGATCATTCAGAATTTGTCAAGTTAATTTGACCTGCTTCAATCGGTTCTGCATTCCCATAGACTTGTATGGGAATGGAAATCCCTCTTGAAGTGAAGGAAACCTGTTGAAATTGGCCCTAAAATTGTCTGGAGGTGTGCATCGTAATTAAAGCAGAACCCTTAGCAAAAATATTATTAACTGCTCGTTTAGGTCTAGGACTAAAAATAAAGTTATACTCATCCGATCCTTGGAGCTGGCAGCACTCCCTCCAGCCACTCTCGTCCACCAGTGCAGGGATGGAATGTCCCTCAGCGTCCTCACGTCCAATATACCGTATTGGGCGCGATTACTTGATGATCCTTAGGCCGCTGAAGTGGAGGGGGAGTGACGCTGGAAGCACCGGTCTAACCGCAAACAATCTCCAAGGATCGGGTGAGTATAACCCCACTGCAAGGGTTAATAATATTTTTGTCCAGAGTTGTACTTTAAATGACAGTCTGCAGACTAGGGCTGCAACAACTAATCAATTTAATTGATGATAATCGATCATGAGAAACGTTGCCATTATCGATTAGTTGATTGTTCGATTAGTTATTTCTGTGTCCCGTCTGATCTCAGCTGCTTCCAGCGGGACCGGGAGGGGACACAGACCCCCTGTAGCCGGTGCTTAGCAGTGAGGAGAGCTCCAAAACTCACTCTCCCGCCGCCGCACTGCTTCCCCGTTCCCCTCCCCACTAGGAGCCCCTGCGTGCTGCGATCTGTGTCTGTGGCCAGCGGGAGGAAAGACAGCTGTGCCTCTGCATTCCAAAGTTGTGCCCCCAGTGCCTCTGTTTCCGCCCCGGTGCCTCTGGTGCTCCTCCATGTTCCCACTGGTCGTCCTCGCGTCTCCTCCATGTCCCTCCTCCCCGCGTTTCGGCTGCTCCTCTCGCTGCTCTTCCCTGTGTCCCCGCCGCTCCTCTGTGCCCCCTCTAAGGGCTTGCTCCCATCCAGCAGCTGGGAACAATAGCCAGCCTGCTATTGGCTATTTTAAAATTGCAGTAGCAGGCTGGCTATTGCACCCACCTTCTTTTTTTGTCACATTTGTGTGTGTTATTTTAAATAAAAGTTTGTTTACTTTATTATGTTTGTTAGCTTTTCAATTCAGATTATTTTAAATCAATGAAACAAATTAAATGTCTAATATAATACATACAATAATTAAAGAAAAAAAAAGGTGGGGGGAAAAAAAGTAACTTTTGGTTTCGGCCTGACAAATTCTGCTGCAGGATGTGTGTTTCAGTGGCACCCCAAACGCGCCACCTGCCCGCAGTGTGATTGCCCGCACTGGAACGCACAGTAACTGTGTATCCTTCCTCTGGGTAATTACATTGGGTAATTGTGGGCATAGTGTTCTGTTTAGGCTTTTCTTCTTTTTTTTTTTTCTTCTCCGTATTATTAGAACTGCTATCCGAAAATAGACTGTTGCTAGCTAGAAGCAACATTCTATCTTTTTCTATGTGTTAGGAATATTGCAAAAAGGAATCTGGGTGATATGGCCATTCCACTTTCCCCTTTATTGTATGTTATGGTAACAAATGATGATAATATTGATATATTTATTTTCCACCTAAAGGACTCAAAGCTTTCCTCAAGTCTTTCTCTCGCATAGAAAGAGATACTGTGTTAGAAAACATTAGGGCCCATTTATACCACAGCGCGTGCGTTAGCATGTGCGGAACACCCACGTGCTCCGGTGCATTTTTATTTGCACTGAGCTGCAGTTAAGTTTTGACACATCAGAGTGCGTTCTTTCTTTTTTAATTTGACTCACTGTTATTTCTGTGCACTTCAGCATTTTGCAATGCATTGCAGCGTGTGGACATGCACAGAGCTGCTCAACAATTCAACATGTTCACTTTTTCAACCAGCGCAGGCAACACAGCACATTCACCTGGGAAAATTAGCAACAAGGCAGTTGCCCTTGCGTTGAGGATTGCAGCCCAACACTGCTGATTTAAATAGGCCCTTTCATGTAAAAACATTAAACTATGTGAAAAATACCACCATTACATTTTCTCTCCTTTTTTTTTTTTAATTTGCATTGTTCATTAGTGAGGCTATAATAAAAAAAATGTATTTGTCATTCTGATCACTGCATTCTGAAGCTGCTCAAGGTTTACAGGCATATGAACCTGTTAGTGCTTTGCTTCGTGATAGATATACAGTAACTGACATGCCCAGTAAAAATAATTTTTAGATGCCAGAATATGCACACAAGATCATACTGTAGACACAGCCATTTGTTTATTGATCACATTCTCATTGAAATATCACTTTTGCTGAATTTGCAGTTGTATTATCTGGAGACGGGTATTGTTTACAATAACTAAGGTTTTATAAAAGTAATTTTAAACTGCATTTTTAAAATCAAGAACAATGTCTTCTGTTTCAACCACTTATTGCAAATAACCTACATATATTAAACAGGAAAATATATAATATAATGTACTACTTTTATGATATGTTATTGGTTACTTAAATGTATTAATGAACTTATCCTTCTGCAGGTAGGTGCTGTAAATGACTATTTACAATCTAATCTGTGTTGGACTTGGATATGGCATACAGTGACTCTCGAGGTAAGAGTTTTGACTGTGTTTCTGTATGTTTGTTTTAAATCCCATAGGAATGCACGGAAACCCACAAAACACAAGTATTCTGTATTTTTGTATATGGGTATTCTGTTGAATTGCGGACATTACCAAAATTTTTAGGAGCTGGTGAAAGGGGGTATCAGTGGGGGA